TGGATTGTACCTATTTCAAAGTACTATTCTGCTATCATGAAGTTCTTGCCTCTTTGGAAAATGCATTAACTACTTGGTCAAAAATTGCATTAAAGTTCACTCACCATTAGCACCTCTACAGAGGCGAATAAAGCCAGCGGGAGCAAAACCATCTTGTCAGACAGGACTACATTCAAGTCTGTTATATGGATGACAATTATTTTTTTTTAAAAAATAATTTATCGGTTTTGATAGTAACCAAATAAATGTCTTACCAACTTCTTTTAAAAGTGGAGTAAGTACACCCATCAACAATAATATATCTAAGATACGTAGTAACCCACCTGGGTCCAATCTCTAGAAAGTTGTCCTATAAAGTGTGCTATACAATAAATAGTAGTATCCTGAAGCTAAAATCTGGAGATCTACTTTGATCTGTTCAGAGTATCCAGTGAATTGTGGGAGACACATGAAAAGCTTTAGGAAGAGAAGGGATTTTCTTTAACATTTGCCTGTATTTATTCTGTTGAAGGATACGGTCATTAAGAATCCACCAAAAAGGAACATAAATACAAAGTCTGCTGTCCGACCTCGGAAAGAGCCTTCTTCTAGCATTCGACAGTAACGATATCTTAAGTTTCAAGTTAAGAAAATGTTAAGCACACAAACGTGAAGAAAGTAAAATTTAGTGTATCATTTAAGTACACTTGTACTCCATGCTATTTGTAAGAAGTCAAGCCTTCATTTTTATAAGAACGTTTATGAGTAGTAGTATGGTTACTTCTCTTTTACCAGGCATTTTAGGCAGGGTGAAGACCAGCTTCATATTTTAGAAAATACTTTTTCTAAACAGTTAAGCCAGACACTGCATAAACATGCCATTAATCCTTTTAAACCAGTCACCTATTAAACCTTTTCAGATCTGTAACATCTTTTCATGTTCAGCCGTACCATAATCTACATCACCCTTGTTTTTTCACAGCCTAACTTGGAAGAAATCCCCATCAAGAAGCCTTGTGTGAGAACCTGTTTTTTCAGGCCAGGTAGATTAAGCATGTCTATACCTCGATCAGTGAGATCCATGATGATAAAAAAAAATTATTAGAAACTTACCAGTATACCATACAGGAGACACAGGAACCCATCCTAATGCAGGAATCCTGTCACCCCTACATGGTCCTCTATCAACTGCAGGTACTTTGACTTATAACTGTCCTCTTAATCCAGAGGGCCCCAACTATCATTTAATCAGTGAACAACTCTTTCTCTTTCAACAAACTGGAACATGGCAAGCCCAGAAAATACTATGGTGCTGTCTTTTCAGCCAATAGATCAGCAAGTAAGATACAAGGAGATCTCAAGTTCTCCATTGTCAATGAATCCACTCTACAACTTATATTAAAACTGTTAATTATCACTGTATTAAGGTTCCGTTTTACCACTTGGGATCTGCTGATGTTATTTTGTAAGTATGCCTCAATTAAGTCACACCTCCTCTCCCCTGATCAGATTTGCAAGTGACTTCTGGGCAGAAATGTAATCATTTATTAATTAAATATCCTCATTTGAACAGTGACCTACAAACACCCTTAAAATATTACTATCTGACAACTTTGTGTACCACTAAGCCAGAACCTAGGATTTACAGCTAAGATGATAACAAAAATAACAATATTAATAGTTTCAACTTAATATTGTATTTCCTAAGTAAACCTGAAGTTTTTATGCTAACCCCACTTAATAAAGGATACAGAAAAATCATGTTAAATAAAAAATTGAATCCAACTGGCCCAAAAAATAAAAAATTGGTGATTAGCCTCCATATCTGTTAAAAGAAAAAAAAATCGAGAGAAATATAGATTAAATAAAATATACCAGGAAACATTTCCATATTAAGACAAAAGAGATATCCTATGACTACAATGGTTGAAAGGCCATGGATAGATAACATGTTCTGAACAAAAAAATGAGGCACACAACCAGACACTGTATTTTTTTGCTGCTTCTAGTTGAAAGTCTGAATATCATTCAGCCTCTGAATTTTGTTAAAGATAAGGAGACAGAAAATTTGAAATTGTGATTGTCTTAACAAAAAAAAGCCCACACCATATGGTCGGACAAATTATGGAAAAAGTTTGATGGAGACTAGGTTAATTTGCATAATAGAAAACAGTGCTTTCAAAAATGTAGTACTATAATGTAATGAATAGTCTTGAGATATTAGAGAAAAACTCCAGGGATCTAATATAAATTGCTAAGAAACATTTCTATATTAGGCAATCCAAAACATTCAGAGTAAAGATAATTCTAAAGCAAATACTTGAATTTGGTTGAACAAATAGTCAACTCTCTACGAGTAAAGACCTAATGCTTTAATAATTAGTCTAATTGGTAAAAATAAAAACACTTATTTTCTTGTTAGAAACTCTGATATACTCTTCCCTACCCAACCCATCCACACCTACAATAAGAACTATTCATAATGGCAAAGCACTTAATATTTTAAAGTGTTTTAACATATTCTATTATCTTATGTGATCTTAATCCTGTTACTGCAATCCTCATTTTATATATAAGGAAACTAAGAGATTTGAATACTTTTTAAATGGCTTGCCCAAGGACTCACAGCTATTAAAGGGCAACTCTGAATTCAAACCCAAAACTCCTAACGCAGACACAAAACTCCTAACGCAGACACAAGTATCGAGTTTAACCCCAGGCAAAATCAAGGCAAACAGGTATTAACTTGGAAGTAATATCTGGATGGAGATACAGCTCTCAGCAAAGGCCATGTAAGTACTGAAGGAAGAATGTAGTGACAAGAGTCCACCGAAATGCTTTATGCATCATTAAAGTCTTAAGAATTGGTAACTATTAAAGTTAAAACACTTAGTGCTACATACTAACTGCATCCAGGATTTTAGAGTCTTCAACCTAAAGAGGAGACAAGCATATAAATAGTGCAAGTATGTGATGGGAGATGATCTAAAAGAAGTATTTACAGATACCCTAGAAACAAAGGAGAATGAATCTGAGGTTACACAAAACCTGTGCCTTGAAAGGCAAGCTGGAGTTCAATGGGTATAAAGTAAATGAAACACATCTGAGACAGAGGCAAAATTACTGGCTTTTGGGTCTCCCTTCCACTCCAACTATAGCCTATATAAACATTGTGGAGCAGGAAAATACAACTCTCTTTTAGCATTCTAATTTTGGGAAGGACTATCTCCCATTGTAATCTAATAAACTGGCATGTTGTTGTTTTAGATGTTGGTCTTTCAGAGTTTTGTTAGTATGATTATCCCTGGAAGATGAATTAATTTAAAAGCCCTAACAGAGCTGAGTTTCCAAACTGGACCACAGCTGATAACGCCGAGGTGGTGGTGGGTGTACCACATGGTAAGTGTACAAAATAAGGGCATAATCAATCCTGTGAGATTCTCCCTGGGCAGCTAGTTGGTCCTCTCAAATATATTAACTCTGAATTAGTGATTTCTAAATACAGGAACTAAACACCTCAAATCAAAAACACGCAGGAAACTTCAAAAATAAAATACAGATTCTTATTTCCTACCCGTTGTGATTCTGATTTGGTCCATGATGAGGAACTTGAGAATCTCCCAATTAGGCTGCAGAATCACTGCTTTATGCCCCTCACAATATGACTTATAATCAAACATTCTCATTGAATTCTTTCTTGAAATAGTATATGGCAGGGTTTGCTACTAAAAAGTAAGAAAAATAAGTTTAAAAACGGAAACAATCATGGTTGTAATGGACCACTTACTTGAAAGTGTTTAAAGATTAATTCAGGATTGAAGTACAGCTGAAAAGGTGTGATCAATTCCAACTGCTGAAATAGAAAAAGAGCTCCTTAAAGCAAATCAATCAAGAAACAATATTTCATCATTTACAACAAAGGATTAGTAGGCCTATCGATTTCCAACTCTGTCACTTAGACTGAATCTTTTAAGGTTGGAGGAAGAGGCTAGGAAAGAATTCTCCATAACTGGTACAATTCTTTGTATCTCCAATATCTAACACAGAATAAAAGTCTGTTTTATGTTGCAAAAGTAGAGGATGACATGAGGGTACGGGACTGAGGTGGTGATGTCTTACATACAGGGAAAGTAAAGAGCAGCTATGAATCTGCCCATCACACAGGCATCACCTGCAAGTTTCATGAAGCAACACAACTCACACAAAAGCACCGAGACCCAAGACCCTGCCACCGTCAAGGCTGGGTACTTCCAGCCAACCTCTATATCCACACTCTCCTTATTTCAAGACTCTTCCCTCTCGACAACTTAAACTTCTTCACTAAGCTGGCTTTCCTCCCACTAGTCACCGCGGTACCACTTGGCCATCACCAGAGTTCTCAGAGACGTTTTCTGGGTGGGCGGCTCCCGCTGCCCTGGATTTGCTGTTGGTTTGGCCTTCATCTCTCAGAAACTGACCTGAAGTCCTGATCCTCCATCCCTCATGCTACAGTACTCCCTTCTCGCGTCACTGGATAAACACTCTTGGAGCCATTCCAAACCCCGGAGTGAGCCCTGTCCACCTCCACTCACCCCTGAGACCAACCCATCTGGGCTTCCCCAAGGCCCAAACCCCAGTTTCCTGAAGACCCGGTCAAATCCAGCCCGGATAATGAGAAGCTGGCGCTGCAGCTGCTCACCACAGCGGCAGTGGTGAGTACGCAGGCGGTGGTGTAGGCGCGGCTGACCGGTGGGATCTGCAGGTACTCCAGCCTGAGGCTCTGGTACGCCATTTTCCCCGCCGCCACCTGCCCTCCGACTTCCCCTTCCGCCAGTCAGCCCAAGCGGCGGGGCGGGACCAAAGCGGGGTCATCCCGTTAGCCTGTCCGCTGCTGTCCAATCAGCGCTGCGCAACCAACAAGCCGCCAATCGCTAGAGCCCTATGAAAAGCCATTTACCAATCACGAGTTGCGTCTTCAGGGTGCCCCAGCCATGCTTCCCTACCCACCAACGTCACGGAGAAGAGAGTAAGTACCGGTTCCTTCCGCCAATCCCAGCGGGCCACAGATAGCTTGCCCGTCCGGCCCCTTTCTGTCACCAATCTAGGTGGCCCTCCCGACCAGACAGCCAGCCAATCAAGAGCACGACAACATCCCGCCTTTGCTCTCGTTAGCTGAGGCAGGCATCGGTTGGAATTTTTGCGAGCCAGCCACTCCGCCGACATCTGGCAGCAGGAGGTGGTTTAAAGGAAGTGGCGGGAAGCTGGTGTTTGATCGATTTTCGTCACCCTCATGGTCGCTTCGGTAAGTGCCGCAGGGTTGCATTGCCTCAGAGGAACAGAGGGGAGTAGAACTGGATTAGGCATCACCGCGGGGCGCTGAAGCAGCCTTATTGTTCGGCCTCCAGTGTCCCGGCATGCAGCGGGGTCGCGGCGCCCGACGGGAGTCGGTTCTCCGGCCGGAAGCAATTCCTGCTCGGAGGATTTTAGAGTTAGTGAGGAGTGTGGGGCAGCGCCCGTGTTTACTGTGCGAATATTGAACAAGCCGTCCTCATCCTGCCTTCATGAACTCTAGCGCTAGCACAGAAGATGAGACAGGCCCATGATAATATCTTAAAGTAGAACTCGGTCAGTTCCCACAGAAAAGTCTTGGGAATTCAGAGGTGGGAGTGCGTCACTAGGGAAATGTATTTAAACTGACCCTTGAGGAATATTTGGCCACAGCATCCTTCCTTGAAGGAAAGACATCAAAGACAAAGAAGATAGCTCGGTTTGGTTGGTACAAGGAGTCGTCAGATTTTGAATGGCAGAGTTAATATCATACTTTATTCGGTGGGTTATAAGGAAGCATTAAAGGTTTTTGGAACAGGGAGTGACCATTAAGTTTAGTATATAAGGAACCAAGTAAAAGGGTAGAGAGAGTGGTTTTTAAAAGATATAAATGAGTAATTCACAAAAGGTGAAACCTGAAGAGCTAACATGTGTGAAGTGGTACTCAACTTTGCTGATAATCAGAGAAATGCACATTAAAATATTTTTGCCTGCTCCCCAAATATCACCCTCACAACCTGTTGATAAAACAATGCTGCATGTACTGCTTACCCTGGTAAGGGTGAACAACGGAACTTGGCAGAGTTTTGTCAGTGCCTCATAGAGAGGGAAGGCAAGATGGGAACTTTTTGAGAATTGCAAGTTTTGTTTAAGGTGGATCTTTGAATTTGAGGGTTTGATTAGGATTGGATAGTGATCGTGAAATAACAGTGCAGGAAAGGTAGAAGCAGCCAAAGCAAGAAATTTCGAGGCAAGAGTTTCAGAGAGTCAGGATATAAATCACTGATTCTTCTCATTGAAGATCTGGTCAGTATTTTGGGAGTTCAAGCCATTGGAACAATGAAAATACATATAAGTGAAATCTGTGGTTCAGCAATTACTTGCCTGTGTAAATGCTCTGCAAGTCCCTAAGGAGACATTATAGGAGGATGTTTATTACATTGTTTCTGGTAGTAAGGTGCTGAAAGCAAACTAGGTGTCTTTCACAAGGAGAATGGAACATAAGTATGGCATATGAATATGAAATTGGTGGAGCACTTAAGTTAGAATCAATGAAGTAAACTTAAGTATAAAACTAACATGGAATGATTACAAACAAAAAATGTAAACATACATATATAAAACTTTCAAGAATATGTATCTGAAACTACTAAAGATGAATTAAAATTAAAAATTAAAAAAGCATATGTTAAAAACATTAGAGTAGGTTCCTATGGGAGATGAAATGTAGAAGAATAAAGACCTAGCATGAACCAAAAATAGCCACGAAATAGGAAGTTATCAGCTCAATTATGCACACGTGAGATCCTTAAAAAGAACAGGATGTGATTAGTAAGGTTCAGATGATGAAGGCCTTTGTAAGCCATGGTGAAATAGTTTGATCTTGATTCTGAAGGCATAGGGCAGTGCTGAGGAAATAGAAATCCTGCCAACCCAGAGAAGCCTCTTCACAAGACTTAGAAAAAAAAGTAGTGTTCTCACTGGTTAGTCATATCTAGATTACAACGCATTGTAGATAATCTGAGTAAGATTACAAAAACAGAAATTGTACCCTATCTGTACAGCCAAGTAGTTATAACCGTTCTATTTTTAGCCATTAACATATATAAATTCTCAAGATTAGTGGCATCTTTGTCTTCCCATAAAAAGATTTGAACCTACCATTTGCTTCAAATTCTTTCATAAAGTTCATCCTAAATTCACCTGGCAATAGAAGTAGCCATCTATTTTAGCTAATTGCCTTTATCTGAAGGAATAATAAAACTCTTATTTCTATAACAAGCATATGGTTATATAAAGCTCAGAAAAGATGCCTAGGTTAAACTCCCGCAGTGACAAGGAGATCCGAGTGCTATTTTCCTAGATGTTTACATTCTAAAGGTTGACTCTTAGACCCTTGAAAAAACATGTTAAGCTTGTAAAGCTGACAAGAGGCTAGCTCAACTTCTAACTGGGATTTTTTTCCAGATGGCTAGATTGGAAGGACAGGGAGTTGAGGACATGGCCAAGGAAGTGGTTGAAGTAATGAATCGTGGAGCCTAAAATGGATAGGGAAGGAAGTGAAGTGGAATAGACAGTGCAAAGAAGAGAGGATCAGTGGGTTGAAATTCTTGATGATTAAGGTACAGTATGAGTATGTGAATAAGAGTTGGAAGAATAGCATAGAAAGTTGTGGTAAAAAAATAGGGGCAGTTGGGGAGAGAAGTTACAAATATCAAGAGCCAGGTGGTAAAAGTGAAGACGAAGCCATTGAAACTCATGAAACAGAGTCTCTAGGGTGCTGGTTAAGTCATCTGTCTAAGTTTGAACATTGTCTAGGATAACAGACTTAGAAGACTGAGCCCAGAGTCCTCAATAAATGAGAAGTGAGGGAAATAAACAATAAGAAAGAGGGAAGAGAAGTTATAGGCTGATAGAAAGATCCTCAGGGAGGCAAAGGTTTGTATCCTTTTGTGAATGAGTGAGGCTGGAAGTGGCACTGGGTATCAAGGAACACAAACTTCTTATTTTTTGCTTTTTTTTTTTTCTATCTGTAATGTGATTTGTTACTTTCCTCTGATTTTTTTTTAATCCAAATGATTTTTTTTCTTACATTTTCAGATTTTTCACAGTCAAAATTAACATAGCAAAATTAGCCAAGATGTCTGTCGATCCAATGACCTATGAGGCCCAGTTTTTTGGCTTCACGCCACAAACTTGCATGCTCAGGATCTACATTGCATTTCAAGACTACCTATTTGAAGTGATGCAGGCTGTTGAACAGGTTATTCTGAAGAAACTGGATGGCATCCCAAACTGTGAGATTAGTCCAGTCCAAATTCGTAAATGTACGGAGAAGTTTCTTTGCTTCATGAAAGGACGTTTTGATAACCTTTTTGTCAAAATGGAACAGCTGTTTTTACAGTGGATTTTGCGTATTCCCCCAAACATCTTGCTTCCGGAAGATAAATCTCAGGAGATGCATCCTTATAGTGAGGAAGAATTCCACCTTCTCCAAAAAGAAATTGAACAGTTACAGGAGACATATAAGACTGAATTATGCACTAAGCAAGCCCTTCTTGCAGAATTAGAAGAGCAAAAAATTGTTCAGGCCAAACTCAAACAGACATTGGCTTTGTTTGATGAGCTTGAAAATGTTGGCAGAGCTCATGGGACTAGTGATTTTAAGGAGAGCTTAGTGTTCCTGGTCCAGAACTCCAGAAAACTACAGAATATTAGAGACAATGTGGAAAAGGAAAGCAAAAGACTGAAAATATCTTAATTTCTAAATAATAAAGGGAGTCTGTCAAAAGCAGAATGAGTAAGGGATTCATATCAATGACTATTCTTATTTTAGTGAACTGTATATTTTACTGGATTTTCTTTGTTTACTTTCTTGTAGTCCACATCTTCCTCTTTTTTGGTCCTATTCTGAAGTATCTATGTATTACCCTGATCTAATCTTTGAAACATTTATTCTTTACAGGCCTCTCATAGGTGGGAAAGGATTCTTGATTCAGTAATGACTCTTTTGGGGCCTTGATTGAAGAAAATAAAGCTTTCCCTGGCCAGTCAAAGATATTTGTAAAAGTTGTACCTTGGTCATGAGTTCTTCGTAATTTCGTTATTTTTGACTTATTCTTTAGATGAGATCAAATGAGAAAAAGGTTGAATGGGTGGCTTCTTTATTGACCAACCACTATATTGTGAGACAGCCAAAACAGAATGCTTGCTTTTGTTCAATAACTTTTCTTATACAAAGAAGATGATAAGTAGTTGAAAGACTCAAGTAGCAGAAAAACAACCATGACATTTAGGACAGAAGAAAGAAGTTGTTTTTGTTTCTAAAATAAATCCTTTCCATGACCAAGGCCTTGGTGATGTTAAGAAATTTACTATCTTGGAGCCCAGCAGTAGAAGACCTTGGACAAAAAAGAAGCAGATCTCACTGGAAAAGAAAAGGAAGCCTGGAACATACCCAAAAGCAAAGTTTATATTATCTATTAGGTATTTTTGTCATTTTTTTCATATTTCAGGTAATTTTGGAACCTTCCTTGCACCTAATATTTAATTAACTTATGTACACACTCATAAGCATCAAATATTTAGTGCCGTCAGTGAGAAATTTTAGCTGTATGTTGTGCTTAAATTCAACGGAGTCTGATATTTCCTTTTGTAATTAACCCATGTAACATGTTAGGTTACCCAGGAAAGAGAAGATATAGCAATAGTTACTCTGAAGGTATTGCTTGCCCTCCATGTCTCCCTAAAGAACAGGATTTAGAGTGTCTCCTTTATGTAGAAGAGTAACTTAGGGTATTAATATTTGCAATTAGATATTCATAGATTTAGGAAGTCTTTACCTGGAATATGTTTATTATCAAAGAGTTCTTTTTCCAATCCTGTACATGAAATACATATGTTTTTAAAGGCTTTGGTTTTTGATTTTCTGCTATTTGTAATGTCCTGGTATGTTTCCTTCAATATGACTTTTTACTCAAATAAATTTTTTTTTTTTTTATATTTATAGCTTATTTAAAATCTAGTATAGTTGATTGAATGGTGATTTCCCCAAAAGGTATGTCTATGTCCTGATTCCTGGAACTTGTGATTGTTCCTTATTTGTAAAAAATGATCTTTGCAGGTATAATTGAGTTAAGGATATGGAGATAATGAGATCATCCTGAGTTATCTGGGGCTGGGGGTCGGAGCGGGGCTAAATCCAATAGTAAGTGTCTTTATAAGAAAAAGGCAGAGAGATTTGAGACAAGAGGCAGCATTGTGATCATAGAGGCAAATTGGGGTGATGTAGTCACGAATGAGGGATGCCAACAGCCACCATAAGCTAGAAGAAGCAAAGGACAAATTCTCCCCTAGAGCCTCCAGAAGGAAATATGGCCCTCCTGGCACCCCCTTTTTTTCCCTTCAGACAAGAGGCAAAGGTTTATTAAGCTTGGGCACAAGGGAACCAACACTGAGAAAGGAAAGGTTCATGTGGCTCCTTGAGAGAATTTGAGGCAGGGCTTTAAAGGGAGCTAGGTGGGGTAAAAGATATGTCTAGGCACGTCTACATGCTTTTTCATGCACTGCATGTTCTATTAGCATTGGCGCCCTTGTTTTGAATTTCTGGCCTCCAAAACTGAGAGAATACACTTGTCTTGTTTTAAGTCACTAAGCTTGTATGATAGCCACAGGAAACTAATATACCTAGTGAAAATAGAATATTAAGATTCATAAGGATGTAAGCTATTAAGGAAACAACAGCTGAGACCTGGTTGGCCTCATTATATATACAATAATATGGTTTGTCTGACTACAGTTAAAATATGAACATGACCTGGATAAAAGGGTGAAATCTACAGTATTTAGAACTGACGTTGAGTAAATGCTTAACTGTTGGGTATTAATACTGCTACCATTTGTTACAGTAGTGTCTCTGCAGGAGCAAATTAATCTGTTTGGCCCCATTGTCCTCTAATTAAATTTCTCCCTCAAAACCTCAGAAATAAGAATAATAACCACTTGGTTACCCACTGTGCTTCATTGCCCTATTGCCCATCCAGCATCAGTCTCACCCAATTTCCTGCTTCCCTCTATATTAGATCCTATGATTTTATAATATCAAACCTTCAACTTCCCTAGATGCCTACTTCTAAGCTTTCCCTTGTATTTATCCATTAATTTTTCTGTAAAACGATGCTTGTTCCCTACTATATACCCCCCAATAGACTTCTCATTCTGCTGCTGCTGTAACAGGCAACCAATTCAGGAGACAGTTTGGCATGGTATTAATAGGTAGTAAAGAATGGACATTACTACCAACCTTACAGAAATGAAAAGAATTATAAGGAAATACTATGTAAGAGGTTTTGTATTCAATTCTGATGGGGAGGGGCGGTTTCCCCACACCACTAAGCAATTTTTGAATACCACCTGGGAGTCTTGCAATTCAACTCAATCTGACACTATCTACCCAGAGGTAGCACAGGTTAAAGGTTCAGCCCCACAAAGACTGCCCTCTACTTCAAATGCCAACCACAGCCCAGGTTGTGCTTCTGACTGATTCGCTATAAGTCAAATGTTCTCGTGACCCGCTCCTTGGATTTAATTAACTTGCTAGAGTGGCTCACAGAACTCAGGAAAACTGTTTACTTGCTAGAGTACTGGTTTATTACAAATGATATATGAATCAATAGCCAGAGGAAGAGATACATAGGGCAAGGGCCAAACAAAGGAGCTTTTTCTCCTCCATGGAGTTTGGGCCTGGCATAATGGAAGCATTCTGGTTACTCAACCTGGAAGCTTTCCAAATGCCCTTCTTTCGAGTTTTTATGGAGGCTGCATTACATAAATCATTGGCCATTGGTGATTGAAGTTGGACCTCTACCTCATGCCATGTACAAAAATAAACTCAAAATGGACCAAAGACCAAAATATAAGAGCTAAAACTATAAAACTCTAAGAAGAAAAGATAGGCTTAAATCCTTGTGGTCTTGAATTAGGTAATAGAGATGACACCAAAAACAAGCAACAAAGGAAAAAAATAGATAAATGGGACATCATCAAAAATAAAAACTTGTACTTTAAAGACACCATCACCAAAGTGAAAAGACAAACCACAGAATGGGAGAAAAAAATTTACAGATCATATCTAATAATGGTCTTGTATTTAGGCTATATAAAGAACTCATAGAATTCAAGAAAAACAGCCCAATTTAAAAATGGGTGAAGGATCTGAATAGATAGTTCTTCGAAGAAGATACACACTTGGCTAATAAACGCACAAAAAGATACTCAACATTACTAGCCATTGGGGAAATAAAAATCAAAACCACAATGAGATAATGCTTTACACTCACTAAGATAACTAATTTTAAAAAAAGATAAGTTTTGGCAAGGAAGTGGAAAAATTGGAATTCTTTTACAGTACTTGTGGGAATATTAAATGGTGCATCCACTTTGGGAAACAGTGGCAGTTTCTCAAATGGTTAAACATGGAGTTACCATATGATCCAGCAACTTCACCCTTAGGGAAATGAAAACATGTTAACACAATAAATTGTACATGAATGTTCATAGCAGCATTACTTATAGTAGCTGAAAAGTAGAAACAACCCAAATGAATCCAACTAATGAATGGTCAAATCAAATGTGATATAGCCATACAAGAGAATATTATTTAGCAATAGAAATGAAATACTGATACATGCTACAACATGGGTGTGCCTTGAAAACATACCAAAGTGAAAGAAGCCAGTCACAGGACCACATATTATAGGTTCTGTTTATATTAAAGTACATAACAGGCAAATCTATAGATAGAAAGTTGATTACCGATTGCCTAGGGATGGAGAAGTGGAGGGAGATGGGTAAAGGGTATGGGGTTTCTTTATGGGGTGATGAAATATCCTACTATTAATTGTGGTGATGGCTGCACAACTCTGAATATACTAAAAACCATGGAATTGCACAATTTAAATGAGTTGTGTGGTATCTGAATTATATCTCAATACTCTGGTAAAAATAATAGTACACACCCCCAAAACAATGCCTGGGTTTATCTAGCTCCACTAGTGCTGTGGCCTTGGGCAAATCACTTCACCTATGCCTGTTTTCTCATCTGCAAAATGCGGGGAATAAAACAAACTACTTCATTGGGTTGTGAGGGTTCAATGTGTTCATGCTGTATAAAACACTAAGCCTGCCACATGGTAAATTCCATTATTAACAAAGTGAGCTACAAGGGTTATATCTGTTTTGCTAATCACTATCTCCAGGGCTTGATACTTAATAAACAGTGAAACATTACAAAAATCGATTATTATCCTAATTTCAGATTCCGCTGTCCCAAACAGCTAAATTTCAACTCTGTTCCCCAACTTAAACTTCCTACTGTCCCATGATATTCAGAAACCACTGTTCACTATCTCCATATACCTACCCACCCCTTATAACCCAATTCACAATGGGACAATTGTCCAAAATAATCATCTCTCCCTTCATCTTTTGCGATTGGGTAAAAGTTACTGAATGTTATTTTGTCTGCGCAGCATCCATCATCTTGATAACATCAATAGTCTCTTGGGAAACTATCTCTTTCCAATTGCATGCTATTTTCATGAGATTGCCAATAAAGGTGTCTCTTCTGACTTTGGCCAAAGGTGGGCACATGACCGTAGCCAGGTCAATAAGACTGTAGAATTTGATTCTTGAGCAAAATGGCATAAGGACTGAAAAGTGGGTCTGTTTATTTTTATGGTTAAACCCTGAAAAGGCTGTTCATTATTATTTGAATGGAGAGGCTTGTTATTTTGGACAAGGGAACCTCTTATCAGAAGCCCAGAAATTGGGGAACAATTAAGAGCTCAATATAGGGAAGCAGTAATCATTGAATTAGGTGGGCAGTAGAGGGAATTGTGTGACCAAATATCCTGGCATATTTAAACTACATTAGAGGAAAATTGGCCAGATTGGACACACAAGGATGCTAAAGAGACATATGGATGTTGTGAGAGTAGTGGAAATTTAATATTGGTTAGAAAATATGGGCCAAGGATTGGAGCTCAATGGAATAAGAAATTTCAAGGAAATATGGAGAATTTCAGGTATTTCAGGAATTTCAAGGTATAGGAAAAAGTAAGGGCTAATGGGGAAGATATGGGGGTATGGGAAGAAAGCAGTTGATTTTCGGATTGGGGTAGGCCCTCACTTGAGATTTAATGCTTGGAGGTCACTGTCTTGAAATTCTTAATAATTTTATCTTTGACTTTGTGTTTTGTAAGTGTAGTCTGATGCGACAATGGAACATGCAAATAATTGAGGGGTTGGGGAGCAGGGAGGCTTAGAGCCTCAGTTTACATGGGGTCCTAACTCCCAGGTGCCTTCTCATATCCCCTAGTTGGCTGCCTACTCCCCTGGTTCCTGGAGCTTCCCTTTCTCTGCTCCTGCTTAGCAACCACTGCTGCCCTCCATCCCTGGTGGGGGCTTGGGTATGGCATGGGAATGATAGATGTTGGATAGCTATTGGGCACGAGAATCCTGCAGCCTCTTGGGGCAGGGCATGGCACCAGCTGTCACTGGCTTGGGCTGAAAGTACCATAGCACATTCAGCAGGTGACAGTCTCTCACCTACTCCTGATCCACATACAGCCTAGTGCAGAGGTCACATTATATTTTGATATTGCTCATCCTCCATGGGTTTGGGCAGAGGCCAATGGGAAGAAGATATGCCTGGATCGATCTCCCTGCCCTAGCCAGGGAACAGAGCATAGATCCAGGGGCTGGCAGGAAGGAGAATCCACAACCAGCTTGAAAGCAGTCATGGTTTCTAGGGTGACAAGCAACTGCAGCCCAAACAGCAGGGATTCCTGGAAGGCTCTCCCTCCCACACAGCAAGGCTGCCACCACCACCAAATCTTGTTTCCTCAGCTGGG